GTTGTAAAGGCGTGACTGTGGTTCGGAAGGGGGTTGAGTAACAACGCCCCACAACAACTCTGATCACAAAATTGAGAGGGCCCAAAGGTCAAGGTGGAGTCTTTCTTGATAAAACACCAAGGTTACTCAAGGGAGCTCCAGTGGTTCTTCTGGATGTTTCAGGCAGTCTTGCAATGGATTCAGAATTCCTTGATCGGATCTTGTTTTCTGTGAGTGGTCCTTCAGGAGGTTCTGAGGTCTTTTAAGGTCTAATGATAGAGGTGGTTACAGTGGTCTTTCAGGAGGTTGCAGGGGTTCCTCTGTCCCACAATGCAATGCTTAACATGGAGGAAGAAGTCACACGTTAATAACAATGAAAATATGACAGCTGGTTTGGTGGTGTACTTCAGTTAGTCCTTAGTCACTCTCCTGATTACCTCAAACTCCTCTGCCAGCATGAGAGCAGCATACCTGATTTACAAATGATTGGTATGGTTTAGTTATTGAGAATCTGTTCAAACATCCTCTAAATCAGTTTCGTGACTTTCCCCAAACTCCCTAAACTGTTACCCACAGACACCTAGAGGGTCACATAGCCTACCCCCTTCTGAGACCCTTTATACTGTTATGTAAACTCTATGTACTAATGCTGACAGTGCACTCATATCAGTATGGAGTACATAGTAAATTCATGTTCAGTACTGTTTTGTACTAACGTGATATGATACAAACTGTCCATCAAACTGACATTTGAAACTACTACTCAATACTGCTATAGTAAAAATGTCTACCTCAGCGGCTTGGGTTGGAGTCCACCTCAGGGCCCTTTGCTGCATGTCATTCCCTCTCTCTTTCCTGTCTGTCTCTCACTATCAAATAAAGCAGAAAAAATGCACAAGTGTTTTAGCAATGACAGTCTACAGGAGTTTCAATTTAGTTTACCAGCATTCCATCTTCATTTTGGCTGCATTATTGAAGTTTAAGCTTTTATGTTGGCAGATCCACCAAAATGACACATTACACCATTTTTAAATAGACACTAATTTGTATTTACAATCTAAGTAATCTCCCATCTAATAACAGTACAGTGACTGTGATCTGAGCTGTTTTGTGTCAGGCTACATACATTTGATTGAAGCACTGTGTTGTGTCATGCTGTTCTGACTTAGCCGTAACTTAATAATGAGCTGTCATGATGAATACAGACAGTGACTCACAGCTCTGTTATATGAGGATAAACGCACAGCAGCATCACAGCACACTGCTAATCCACAGCTATCTTAATGCCAGTCGGAAAATATACCCACAGCTGACCTGGCCTGGCCTGGTCTAACCAAACCCCTCAATCCAGTTTGTTGAGATCAATATTTAAGTGTTATAACTGAATTCAAAACATGTCACAATGGATTATAGTACAATTATAATGGGTTAGAATGGGTTATAAGGCATTTAGAATGGGTTAGAATGGATTATAAGGCATCTAGACTGGGTTGACATGGTTAACACTTCATTTAGTATGGATTATAGTGCATTTATAATGGATTAGAATGGGTTATAAGGCATTTATATTGGGTTAGCATGGGTTATAAGGCATTTACAGTAAGTTAAAATGGGTAAGAGTTCATTTAGCATGGGTTCAAATGTGTCACAATACATTTACAGTGGTTTATGGGTTGTAAGGCATTTAGATTGGGTTAGCATGTGCTATAAGTCATTTTCAGTGGGTACAGTTCATTTAGCATGGGTTAAAATAGGCCACAGTACATTCAGAGTGGGTCATGTAACAAACCGTCTCAGCAATCGTAGGATTTTTTCTCTCCCTTTAAAAGTGTCCTCCAGTGTCTGTTGCTACAGTGCAGCCTCTGCCAGAGTTACTTGAATGATCTGTATTTTATTGAGTGTTTATTGTTGTCGTCAGCACATCCTTTGGGCGGATTACATTCAGAAGTTACGCTTATTGGCTTTTTGCTCGTGGTGCTGTTGTTGCATTCGCAGTGGCGCGGTGAGTGTGTTTGTCTTTGGTCCACTCTCCACCGCTGTCTGTGCTGTTCACAGAGAACCACCATGCAGTATAGATGACAGCAGAATGCAAGAGGGTCTGAGACTGAACTGACATGAAAGGAGGGCACATAAATTAGGTAAATAACATAATGCATGTTTCGCTACTCTTACACACACAAAGAGCTCACAGCGGAGAGATGGAGAGTTGACACCTGTGTGAAAGCTGATGTAAAATTCATTGGATCGGGCTCATAGCCGATACCGATCAATTGAAAAATGTTTTGATCAAACAATTATTGGTTTGATGGGTTTATAGTGTATTTAAAATGGGACAGAATGGGTTTACCTAACTAAACTTAGACAGATGGACAAAACCAGTAACTTCTCCTCCTCCTCCTCCTCTTCCTCTTCCTCCTCTTCTTCCTCCTCTTCTTCCTCCTCCTCCTCCTCCTCTGTCAGGGCTGATTCAGTTGCTCTCAGTGTTTCCTCCCACACTATGTTGTTATGAAAGAATTCACTGCAGGGCTTCTTCAAACTGTGACCATAAACAGATAGAAGAAATAAACTTTTGCTTCATCCGATCTGCTTTTTGTATTTGTGTATGTATACAGTGTATGTAACACCTCCTCATATTACATTTGGATTCACACCATCAGATGCAGCACTACTTTTCCTCAAACGGCCCACCGCACACATGAATGTTACAAAAATGATGTGCACGACTCTTGGTTTTAAATGTGTATTGTAATGTTCTTAGCAACCCTCTGCCTCTTTAAATGGAGATGAACTCTTACTGGCCCTGTGGCAACAAAGCACATGGACTCATTATGTGAGCCACACATTCACCTTCTTGCTCTTTTTTTGTATTAACTCTGTCTGCCCCCAGCAGCTGCAGCTCCATATGTTCTTCATGCTTGTTACTGTAGAGCAAATCAGCTGCTCAGATCTCCAGGTTGAAATTACATAAATATCAGTGGGAGTTGGATTTCTGTTGTGCCTCTTTGCCAAGAAGGGTAGATTTACTGACCTGCTTACGTTAACACGAATGGTTACTGGTCCAACAGTTTGTTAACATATTACTAGACCGACTGGAACACTGGGCTACTTTGTGTCTCGACATGATCATATATCTGAGTTGGCAAATATGACATGCAGAGTTCCCCAAGGCTCCACTCTGGGGCCTCCTCTGTTTAACATCTTCATGTTTCCACTGATTATGGAAAACAACAAAGTAAGTTGGTGCATTGAACATAACTCTGTTATGTTGTTCATTCTGTACACATGACATCTATTGCACTTCTGCCCATCCTAAGAGAGGGATCCCTCCTCTGTTGCTCTCCCTGTAGTTTCTTAAGGTTTTTGTGGGGGGAGTTTTTCCCCAGGGTCCTGGGACAGAGGATGTCGTATGTGTAAAGATTGTAAAGCCCTCTGAGGTAAATTTGTGATTTGGGGCTATACAAAATGAATTGAAGTTACCATAAATTTGCAGATGACACACACATTTGCCTATCACCAGGGGACTATGGCCCAATACAAGCACTGAGTAAGTCCATTGAACAAATCAACTGGATGTGTCAGATGTTTTTTTCAGTTGAACAAAGACGAGACTGAGGTAGTTTTTTTTGGAGCCAAGGAGCAATGATTAAAAGTCAGTGTTCAATTTCAACGGTAATGTAATAAACCACAGACCAAGCCTGAAATCGATGTAGTTATGGACTCAGACTTGAGTCTCAGCAGCCACATTGAGACATTCACTCAATCCTATCACTTTAAGAATAATATTTCAAGGATTAAGGGATTTATGTCTCATCAGGTTTTGGAAAAACCATGCACTTATCTTCTGTACTCTGTTCTCTACTGTAACGGTGTCCATACAGGTCTCCCTAAAAATGGGTTAGACGGGGGCTGATTCAGCCTGCTGCTGCTTGAGTCCTCAAGACCAAGAAAATGGATCACGTCTGTCCACTTATAAGGTCTTTTGACTGTCTTCCTGTATGTAAAATTATTGACTTTAAAATTCTACTGTTGGTGTATAAAGCACTGAATGGTTTAGGGACAAATTACTTTTCTGATTATCTGCTACATTATGAACCATCCAGGCCTCTCAGGTTGTCTGGAACAGGTCCGCTTTCTGTCCCCAGAGCCAAAACCAAACACGGAGAAACAGTTCAGTTTTTATGTACCATATATCTGGAACAATATCCCAGAAAACTGCAGGTCAGCTGCAACCCTCAATTCTTTTTAATCAAGGCTGAATTATTTTGTGTTTGCCTTGGCTCTTTATTAAGTAATTTCTTGTAGTGCACTGAAACCTTTATTCTTGCATTATACCTGCCTTATTACATTTTTGCTTTGGACTTATTATGACTGTTCTTAATTGTATTTAAATGTCCTTTTATAATGTGTTTCTTTTGCACTTTGTCTTTTGATGTTTTATGCAAAGCGCTTTGAATTGCCTTGTCTTGCATTGAAAAGGGAATCAATTACTATTATTTTTTTCTCAAATCAAAGCCTGTATTTGGTCTTGTTTGTGACTTCCTACTCAAACCTTAGAGAAAAAGTAACATCAGAATGTTTTATTTGTTATCTAGAACGCGTTGTGTCTTCAAAGGTATTTTCATAATTTCACAGGTGTCTCCAGCTTGCCTGCGAAATGCAATATGTACGTTCCATTAAAGAAGAAGGCGAGAGCGGAGTGATGTAGTTTGTAGAAATGTTATATTCAAATATCAGTTTCACCCTGGGCAAAAATGTTATTATTTACACAAGAGAGTACACATCTGTAAGATCACAAAGTGTTGTTTAATATTCTCTCTGTAAGAACATCCAAAGTATTAAAGATGTCTTGTCTATTTCTATGTGTGGAGCCATTTTGAAATGACATCCCCTTTTGTGTTTGAGGTTAAATGGACCGCCAATCACCTCCAGTGATGTACCAAAAACTAAAGAATACCCTAATCAATAACGGTGTCATCAGATATTGTAAATCCATTATTCAGACTCTCTCTGTTTGTTTCCAGGAAGTGGGTGTGGTGCAGTGGGCGGAGCTGTGCCAGGGCTAATTGGCGCCACTGGTCCCTCGGCGATGAAACCATTCCTGACGTTTCCTGTCGAGACAACGCCGCCAGTCGGTCTTTTTCCGAACTTCAACACGGTATGACTTTGTGTGTGTGTTCTTGTACATATGACTTTATGAGGACCAATTTTAGTTTTTGGAAAGAGAGGACATTTTGGCAAAGGCCTGTTTCATGGTTCAGACTTGGATGGTCCTCACTAGGATAGAAGATAGAAGACAGAGATAGAAGTACAGGGTGTGTGTGTCTGTGTGTGTGTGTGTGTGTGTGTGTGTGTGTGTGTGTGTGTGTGTGT